AGAATGGGTGTCACAATGAATCTTATTGTCTTCATAGTTGTTGCCTAAACTTTCAAACTTGGTACTATCTAGCATAACAGAATAGAGGAAAATCAGTCAAAACAAGATTGTGAGAGCAATACAGAGTTCCAAATCAAGTTAATAGGAAATCAAAGTGGGTTACTATAATATATCCTGCTATTATTTATTTATTTTTCCCTTAATTAAAAGTATAAAAATGAAAAAGTAGATAATAAAAAGGAGATTGAGACAAAAAAGAGGGCATAGCAACAAAACAGTGCAGGTCAAAACATAGCCATTTAAGCAAACTAGTGTTTCACCACAAGATAATCTCAACATGATAGTAGTTACCATAGTGCCTTTTTCCTTAAAATCTTTGGGTATAACTTTGTATACTGTAGCATCAAACATATCAAGACAATGTAAAACCATTCAAAAGAACCAACAGTATTACAGGATATTTAGAATCAACTAACAGAAAATGAATGATGGTTTCTGTATAATCTCCTTGTCTATAAAACTTTTTGTTTATATCATCACATATAATAAAATCCAATATGATACAACACGTTAAAACCAATGGAGACAGAAGAACAAAAGCTTGATGGGACTTCAAAACAAGAGGATATTAAATCAGCACTACCTATTATGATGTCTTGTTTTCTCCAAAATGGCTGTTCCTACCATCCAACTTTCTCTGCCTCATTTCTGTTGAGCTCTTTTTCTGTCATTAGTTGTCAGTTTGTCTTCTTCATTTTGCTTTCTGCTCCATTCATTGTGGCCTCTCTGCCGCTGTTTCTAGAATCTTGGTATTTTCATTTTTAGAATATCCTGCAGTAATCTCTGTAGAGTTGAATTGGTGGTTGCAAATTCTCCTAGTTCCTCTTTTTCCTGGAAGCACTTTGTTTTTCCATCAATTTCTAGGGACAGTTTGCAGGATATATCAATCTTGGCTGGAGGTTATTATCTTTCAAAGCTTGAATTATTTCCCCCCACACTCTTCGTGATTTGATGGTTTGTGCCGAGAAGTCTGCTGTAATTCTGATGGGTGTTCCCTTGTAAGTGATCTGTTTCTTGTCTCTGATGGCTTTTAATATTCTGTTCTTATACTGGATTTCTGGAATTTTGATTATTATATGCCTGGGTGTAGCTCTGTTTGGGTTGTAGGTTTCTGGGGTCCTGTATGCCTCATACATCCGAGTATCTTTACCTTTTGCTAAATTAGGGAAATTCTCCTGGATTATTTCTGTGAATAGCTTTTGTAGTTTATTTGTTTGAGTCCCTACTTCTTTTTTTATGTTCTTAATTCTTAGGTTGTAGATCCTCTTATCATCTTCTAGTCTTTGTATTATTGCTGTTTGTTTTCTTGTTATTTTTAAGAAGTTTTTCATTTCATGCTCCCACCTTACAAATCTGTCCTCCAGTTCTGATAATCTATCCTTAGTTTCTTTCAAGCTGTTATGCCAGCTTTCAATAGAGTTTTTAGTTTCCTGGTAATCTCTGTGAACCTGCTTCACGTATTCTATGTTTTCTCTATTTTCTCCATCAAAGAATTCTCCCCTTTTTTTCTGTTGTTCCATTCCACCATCTGTTTTTTCTTGGGCTGTGCTTAGCATTTCCCTAAGTATTCTACTTATTTCTTGCTTTATTTCATTAAATACTTCATTTTTGAGCTCATCTATGAGGCTCCAGAGATACCGCTTTATATCTATAGGTGACGTGTCTGATATTGCATGTTTTCTGTCTTCATTCTCTTTTGCATTTACCTTTCCTGGATCAGTATTCTCAGGATTGGGGACTGAGGGGCCTTTCTTGCTGCTTCCTTTCCCCATACTTTTTGCTCCTTCCATACAAGTGTATGTAGGAGGCCCAGTTTTTTTTTTTTTTTTTTTTCTCTTTGTCTGTTGCAGTTTGTTTGAATCTGCCGGCTAGGTGTTCCTGCCCACTGTAGTGTACAAGGAGACACAGACCTGGGCAGCCTCTGCTGGGCCTGCCCCTCCAGGTCAACCTACTGAATGCTTCACTGCTAGGGTGCACCACCAGGCGCAGGGACCTGATTTGGGCTAGCCTACAGGATCTTAGACCGCAGCGTCACCAGGCCAAGCGCTCCCCACCACTCCCGCTTGAGAGGGGAATATGCGACTAAAGTCACTGCAGGGCCCTGTTCCAGCTAGTCTGCTTGTTCCCAGAATGTCCTCTGTTGGAGCCTCCTAGTCTATGAAAGGGTCCCCATTTCTCTCACTCACCGCAGGTCGATGACTGCCTCCCTGCCAGTCCTGCTCTCAATGCCGTTTGGTTCACCGATTCCAGCTCTCAGAGCTTTCGCGCATCTGTCTCCCTGCCGTGCAGATTGGGACATAGCATCATCAGCAGGAAATTCAAATCGTGGCTTCCAATGGCACGGGATCCAGCTTCTGCAATGAGATTTTATCTGTTCCTGTTATAGCATCAGGATTGCATTTCCAGTTGGTTTCTCTCAGCTTACTTTGTTCCTGAGTTGGCAGGGTACATCTCCCCTCACGTAGGACTCCTCACATGGCACCGCTCCTGGATTCTAAGCTGGTAATCTCAGAGAGCCTCCGTGGCTGCTGTTACTTGTCTGCCATGTTCTCCAGGAAGTCAATCTCACTGTTTGAATCCCCACTTTATAAGCTCCACTTTAGTATCTTGAATAACTATTTGTAAGAAAACAATTCATAATCATCAACTAGTGATTTCTTACTGTTTATTTTTTCTTTGAAATTATATATTATTTCTTCCCATTTTCTGTTTTGTTTAGTCTTTCTTTAAATTAAATTAAAAAAAAAAAAAAGAAAGACACTACAGTACCCAGTGCTGATCACGGAGTATCATGATGTGAAATCCAGCAATACTATTATTCTTTGTTCAGAATGATTTTAACCTGCTTTAGTTTCTTTAATATAAATATAAATGAGGATATGGATAACTGCATGTATATTTAAGTGTATAGGATTGACAACTATGTTATTAAGTTTTTGTTGGACAGTTGAGCAGAACTATTTGCAGTCTCACTGTTTGAATTCCCACTTTACATGTTCTACTTTAGTATCTTGAACAACTATTTGTAAAACAATATGTAAACATCAACTAGTGATTTGTTACTGTTTATTTTCTCTGAATGTATGTATTATTTCTATCTATTTTCTGTTTTGTTTAGTCTTTCTTTAAATAAAATTTAAAAAAAAGAAAGAAATCCAGAAATAAACAATTCATAAGTTTTAAGTTATGCACAAATCTGAGTAGAGTGACAAAACCTCCTGCTGTTTCACTATATTCTGTCTGTAGCAAGAATTTTCTCTGTCCAGAATATTCATGCTGTTCACCCACTAGCCACTTAGTAGCCACCTCAGTTATCAGATCCACTCTTTTACAGTTGTACAGCTTGTACATAGGCTTTGGAACTATACTCAGCTTTGGGCATCCACTGAAGTCTTGGAACACATCCCCTGTGGATAGAGGTGGGGGGGGGCTGCAATTGCCATTAAATTCTAGTTCCTCTTAGCTCTAGTCAGATAATTGAGGCCTCCTGCAGAATACAGTCCTGTTTCTGCCACATGTTCTGCTCTTACCAGTGACTTAGCCATTGCAAACCCTCGAAGGCTACATACTCCTTCACAGCACAAATTATTCCTCAGTATGTGGCCCTAAGGTCATATGCTTTTATTTATTTATTATTATTTGGTGCTAGGGATAAGCCCAGGGCCTTATGCATGCTAGATAAATACCACCAAGCAATATCCCTAGACTCTTTCAAAACTTTATTGTGCAACAAAATCTTACAGAATTGCCCAAGCTGGCCTTGAACATTGTCTTAGCATTCAGAGCAGCTGGGATCATAGGCCTATACCACTGCACCAGGCTCTTACACTCTTTCACAGCCCACTTATCCTGAACTCAAAAGTCAAAAGGATGTGAGGGTGGGGACAACTGTGGAAAGGAACAGAGTTCCACACTGACAGGAAAATACAACCACCCTAGAGTCTCACTGTGATACACTGGGGATCTCAAAAGTAACCCCAGCATTCCTCAGCAGTGTCTTTCGAATCCTTTTGTCATTGGCAAGACTGACAAAGGCAAAATTACCCAAATTTAGTTATAGAGTCTAACTAGATATTATTAGCAATTAATGAACCATGCCAACCCTGCACTCTACAGAATACAGGGAAAGCTTCTTCTGCACAGAAGCAGAACAGTGATAATTGAGGTGCAAGAAGGAAGGAGGACATTTTAAAAAATGATTGTTAACATGAGGTTACTGTTGATTACTTTTATCACTGATATATTTATTTAGGTAAAGGATAAAGACAAATAACTTCCTTATCATGCTGGCACTAGTACATTGGAATGTTCTGCTTTGTGAAAATCTTGTCCATTTTGGGAATTAATCTGCTTCTTTAAAGCTTCAACTTGGTCATAGCACATTTTGAATGAGTAATTCTGTTTGGATTGTTAAGGCCTGGTAAAGGAGTTTACTCTAAAACAATCACTTCCCGCAAATTTCCTTTTATAATGGCCCCCAAATTCAGAGTTCTCTGGTAACCTTTGAGCTTCTAGGTAACACATTGGTAAAGGAGACTGTCCAGAGTGCCAGAGAGAATATGACCATCTTTTCTGAGTTACACTGCCTTCAACAGGTAAAAATGTGGATTGCAGTTTGGGTTGACTTCATTACCCAATTTTTGTTTCCTAAGCTTTAATATAAAGAAAAATTCAGTTGTATGCATACATTTATGCGTACATTCATACATTTATGGGGCTTCCTTTGTGTGTTGCTAGGGATGCACCCTCTTTCTTTCTGCGCTTCACCCTGTCATCTGGCTCCTAATCAATCTGCAGGTTTTGGAAACCTCCTTCAATTTCAGATCGTGGTCACTCCATCCTCACATGACCTGGGTGCCTCTGTTGCCCCTTCCACCAGCTGCGGTCCTGAGCAAAGGGCCCTGCGCTCCCACTGACTCCTCTCTTCCCTCTCCTTGCAGGTCTCAGGCTCCTACACGACCACCACCACCATCACAGCACCTCCCTCTGGCAGTCTGCAGAATGGAGGCGAGAAGGTGGAAAAAATGTTCCTCTATTCAGAGGAAGACATCCGACCTGAATTGAAAGATGACATTCGAGACCCCAACTATGAGGACGAGGAGGGTCCTATGCCCAAGCTGGAGTATGTCTGGAGAAACATCATCCTGATGGGTCTGCTGCACGTGGGAGCCTTGTATGGGATAGCATTGGTTCCCTCCTGCAAGTTTTATACCTGGCTGTGGGGTAAGCAAGTTCTCTGTGGGGTTGGGATGCAGGAGTGTCATTTCTGGTAGTTTCTTAAGACGAGTGTTGGGAAGTGACCCCTGAGCCCATGTGCAGGGGCTTTGAGGGGAAGAACAGGGGTGCAGAGGCATCTTCGCCTGCATGAGCTTTACTGTTTCTGTTTGAGTTATTAGTTTGGCTGCTTGTGGGAGCTGTGGGCTCCTGACACTAAACCAGGTTTATGAGCTATGAGCTTCATGAGCTCATAGCTTTATGAGCTATGTGTTGAACCTTGTCACAGGACAGAGTAAAGGAAAACTGCTTAGGACCAGAGATCTCTGAAGAGTGTGTAACACAAAGAGGCTTGCCTTCTTGGCCAGATCTGGTTGGTTGGAAAATTGTTGGCCAGAGGACCCAGGTGAAATTAAGACAAAGGCTGTGTAACCTAATTGCATGAATGTTTTGTTCACTTGCTCCAGGTATGCAAGGCAATGAAATGTCCTTAGAATCTGATTGTAGAAATGTTGTCTGTTGCATTCCCCACTCAGTCCCTCTTTCCTGGGCCCTGGTATGCCAAGGTCAGAGCAGTGAGAGCAGTTAGAGCACCCTCTAACACTAGTCCTCCCTACCTCTATTCATCCCTCTGTGGCAGGGACAGCCAGGTCAGAGTAGAGAGTCCTATGCAGCTGTGGCCTTCAGGCTGCTTTACTGAAGGAGACAGTTGCCACTTTTCCCTGAACAGTCTTTAGCTAAACTCTGTCTGAGATCTATGAATCATGCCAAGAGCAGAGCCTGTGTCCTGAGTTCCTACATATGCTTTTCAGATGGTTGCACCCCCTTAATGTCTGAGTTAGCAATACTGAGCAATACTGAGCCCTGCAGCCCCACGGGTACAGTTGAGCTATCTCAGGGGGTGGTGAACCAGTACTCCTTTTCCAGAAGACAAAAAGTTTTCCAGAGTGGTCACAGAAATGGATGTTTTCTGACAGCTCTATCTTGGGGGTACTGTTGTGGACCAGAAGTGGCTAGTTTACCCGATGTTAACTGTCTCCCCTTCGTACCTGTGATAAGGTCTTTCAGCTCTGTCTTAGCATATCCTCCAAATGTCCCAGAGAAACATAACTGAGAAGATCCCTTATCTCATGATTGCAGGTTTTCTAAGTACCAACAGTGCACTCTTAGCAGTGGGAAGAGTTCTGAGTTTACATGGTATTATCTTTGCTATAGAGACACCTGCTGGAAGCAGGTGAGGTGTAGCAGTTATGTGTATCTGTAGACAAGGAAGGATTATTCTGTTTGTGAAGGAAAGGCTACTTGTGTTTCTCACTGCTCTGAGACCCAGAGAGCTTAGGTGCAGCATGATGAACCCAGAGTAGGTACTGAATTCTCTGGGGAGTCTGTGGACTTTATTGTCCACTCCTCCTAAGACATAAGTCTTCATGACTAGCTTTATGATCTGCAAATGCTTTTCAGCCTTGGCAGTCCCCGTGGGCCTTATTCATTTCAGAGTTTGACCAGACTGCATGTACTTGGTGCCAGTGCAGGGGGCAAAATGCTACTACAAAGCCAAGGTTTTTGGTTCCCTGTCCATAGGTGTTTGTTATGACTTTGGGCAGAAACATGGAACAAAGAGCCAGGTGGTGACATGTTTTACTTCTGTGCACGAGATTTTGATCATGACGTCAATGACAGTAGAGTCAATCTTGAAATGGGGATTTCAGAACTCCTAGATTTTAAGGAAAATTGTTGGCTAGAGGACCCAAGTTGGGCATCTTCCCACCTTTAGAGTTTACCAGCTTTTCTTGTTTTACCCCAAGGAAAATGAAGACTTTCCAACTGGTTGTGATTCTAGCATTTTTATGACTGTGAAACTATGACATGGTTTTGTGTGTTTCCTTTTGGAGCTATTCAGAAGAGCCCCCAGGGCAGAGCTGAAGAGTTATTTCTGGCATCGCTGAGAGCCAATGTTGAAAACTTCTCTGTCTCCTCCTAGGGAAACTATGAAATATTGCTTAATTATTGATGTGCACACTAACAGTCCTTCCCTGGGGAGGGAGATTAGCTTAACCCACTCTAGCCTTCTATTTGACACATTAAGACATGTGTCTTTAATAGGTACCAGAGAAGTTGGATTCTTATCCCAGTTCTCCTGTTAATTTGGGGTTACATGTGCTTTCAGAGGCAATGAGCTCGGGGCATCTGAAGCATGAAACAATTGAAGATGATCCCTTGGAACCTAATCTCACTATTTCTGCTTTATCTAAAGCCCTTTCCTTTCTCAAGCAATTTTAGGCCTCTGACCCCCTTGGGATTTTTCCAGGTAGAGACTTGGTCAGGCACTGTATTGAGGGAAGGCACAGATTGGCACATGACTATGGAGGCTGAAGATCATGTGGGGCCTCAATTCCAAGAGTGTGGCAGAACATTCTATGGACAGATTCTGGCCTTATGGTCCCTCTAGAAGGACAGAACAGGATGTAAGAGGAAGGGCAAGGAAAGGAGGAAGCTGTTTACAAAATTATTGTCATTGACTACAGAAGATCACAGGACAGTTTGTCACAGTGCATGGTGTCTTCAGGATAAATTCAGTGGCCACTGAGTATCCACTGTTTCCATCTGTCCCCTAGGAATGACACTGTTTAAGGCCTACCAGAGCCTCAGTCTCTGTCTTCTAGAGCATGTGAGCAGGAGAAGAGATATGACATCCAGCACACCCTTTCCACTTACAAACCATACGCGGCACCTCCTGAGCCTGCAGGACAACATGAGGGTGTTTTGACATCTGACAGCATTGTCTAGAATTAGCATTGACAGAGAGTCTGGGCTGATGGAGGAATTTAGCAACCTAAAAAAACTCTGCAGCTGGCTCCAGATACAGCAGTGGGTAGAGGGTGGTTACAAATGGTAGAGCTTCAATAAGAACTGGTGACAGAAAAGCTAGCTTCAAACTGGGGTTGCAGTTTTATTAGCCATGTGACCCTGGATAAACACTTGGCTTCTCTCAAGATTCATTGCTTCAGTTGCACTGTGTCATATTACTAGCACTTGACCTGATCAGCTTACACAATGAATATGAAACTATTCATATTTCTGTTGAACTTTGAGCCACTATGCAAATATGACTACATGAAGGGTTTTCTTCCTTTTGGCCTCCTGAGTCAGAAGGGTTCTGGAGCTTATCTCCAATCCTAGATAGAGAAGCTGGGAGGCAATAAAGCTTTTTCAAATGGTGAAAGCTGAGGCCTCTTTGATGAAGGCCACCCTACTATTTAGGGGAAGGCAGCTCTTTACCCAAAGCTCTAAGAAGACACAGACATGGCATCAGGAGAGTGTCTATGACATTTCCCTGGTAGGACTTTCTTGTTGATGACTTTCCCACTCTCTCGTCTGGCAGGGTATTTCTGCTTCTTTGTTAGTATCCTGGGTGTCACAGCAGGAGCTCATCGCCTGTGGAGCCATAGAACTTACAAAGCGCGGCTGCCCTTGAAGGTCTTCCTGATCATCAGCAATACAATGGCGTTCCAGGTGAGAAACCAGTGCTGCTCTGCTCTGCGATCTCAAACTGTTGATGTTTCCAGGTGGAAAAGAGGGGATCAGCACCTAGTTAGGATCTCCAGCAGAATGGCCACTGCCTGGTCTAGTCTTCTGCTGTCACCTCAAGTGCAGGCTCAGGGCTGAGGTCCACCAACCATGGGGATCTTCAGAGTCTGGAGGATAGCAAATAGGAGATGAATGGGACAAACTATCCTGGTACAGGGTAACTTTCCATTCCAGAGTCCCTGTGCTATCACACAATGTAACTGTTAAGATCTTTTGCCATAAAGAGACATAGTATAAAGTTAAGTATGGACCCTGGTGTCCTGGGCAGTCAAAAGGCACTAAATTCACACTTTACTGTGACAGCTATACGATCCCAGCACAGATAAGATAGAAGATGATGTGTCGCGGACTCATGACCTGTGTTATGTCAAATAAAAAGAGCAAACACTTTCATAGAACCAGCTGTGCTAGCAGTGTTAACTCATTAAGTCTTCACAATGTTTTAGCAGAAAGGTGCTATTTTTACCTCATTTTACAGATGAAGAAACTGGCTCACTGTAAGATTAGACAGGCAAACTTTGTGGTCCTGTCTTGGGCTGCCATGCTAACTAAGTCTAGGACAGAATTCAGTGGAGGGAGAAGAGGAAAACAGCAAACCAGGTAAACCCCCCTTGTTAGGATGATATCTGAGGTGATGATTACCTTTGTGTAATCATTTTTGTCCTAGCAACATTCACTTAGAGTCTTGTGATATTATCTTTGTGGGGCAAAGGGAAGAAAGAAACATATTGGCATGTTTTTCAGTGGTTGGAAAGAATCCCAAAGAAACCCTGAGATCTTCTGGAAATGTGGTCATTGTCATGAATTACATAAGGGCTTGTTATTGGGTTGGATAAGTCATTACTCGGGGTGGCATCAGGATTATGTCTGCTGAAGCTTTATCTATGCTCAAGCACACAAGGATACAAAGCCACCTGACACATAATCTGTGCCTAAGGATCAGATGATGCGTTGAGACTCTGTCCTTCTTTCTTGAAGACCTGCAATTTTTTTCTAATTAAGTGATTTGAGTGCTGGGAGTTAACTGCTTTCACATAGATCTTTTAGGAAGCAGCAGTGCTATTTTTGTGGATGTGCTTCCAGCAGTGCTATTCTATAAGGTATTTCTCCACATAAGTTTTGGAAACAAGTGTGCACCTTCTTCCTTAGAGCTAGAGTCCTGGGGGCTTTGTGAGGGTGGTCTGAGAGCCCTAGGCCCATGGAGACATCTACGCATTGACTTCTCTCAGAAGGCCATCTCTCTTCAGGCCTGTGTTCTTTTTCTTTATCCTTCAGAATGATGTATATGAATGGGCACGAGACCACCGTGTCCACCACAAGTTCTCAGACACACATGCTGACCCACACAATTCCCGGCGTGGTTTTTTCTTCTGTCACGTGGGTTGGCTGCTTGTGCGTAAAAACCCAGCTGTCAAAGAGAAGGGCAGTTTGCTGGACATGTCTGATTTAAAAGCAGAGAAACTCGTGATGTTCCAGAGGAGGTGAGTGAAGGAGGGATGGGGATGGGAATGTGGTCCTGAGTACCTGGAATTTGGTGACCTCACTTTTTCAGTTGGGACTTACAAAATAGAAGCTGGTGATTTCTTGGGTTTGTACATTCAAAAATCATCATTTGATCCCCATTAGTAACGTCCTGAAGGTTCACAACCCTTCTTTCTCACTTTTTCTAAAAATTATTTTAATGAAGTTCATCAAATGCAGTAAATGTTCATTGACCTGTGAATATACACAATGAATATAATAATGAGTCCTTCCCTTCAAAGTATTTGTAGGCTATTAGTGGGTGGAGGAATAAGTGAAATACTCCGTGACCATAATACGATGGGGAAAGTTTCTTGTACCATGAGATATACAGAATAGTGAAAACTGTCAGTAGGGAACTCCAGAAAGTGTTTTGAACTAAGTAGCATTATGAAGTGTTTTGAACTAAGTAGTATTATAATTTTGAACTCAGTAGCATCCATTGATACAGATTTTAACAAATATGAATGAATAGGGATCCTGAGACAGAAAGCAGAATGAACCAAAGCCTCAAGCAGATTTTAGAATCACTGTCTTTCTTCTCAAGTATAGAGTTTGGCAGAAAAAAGGACTACAAGAAAGACTGAGGCCATCGTGTAGACTCAGGTCATGAGTCACAGATTAGGAATTGATTCAGTTGGTATGAGGGAACCTCTAAAGCATATTCAGCAGTCATGTGTATAGTCACAGAGACCACTCATTACAGGGAAGGAAAAAGGAGCCAGGGGGGAGAGGCAAGGACACATGAGAGGAAGTAGAAGGGACCTAGGTTAACAAATTAGGGGCCAGAACAAAAAGGAGTTGGACTCGGGGAATATCAATGACATAAGTCAAAGATGTGACTGCTAAAGGGATGCAGGTCATCCGTTCCTTTGGAATGTCAGTGGCCTGGTTTATGTCAGAGCCGTGAGTAGGCCAGAGCCTCTGGAGAGACAGTCACCTAGGTGATCAAAAATACTCAGTGTGCTTCCTGTGAGAAAAGCAGAGCTTTTCAAAAATTAGAGAGTGGCAGCAAGAAATCGAGGCATTATGCCAAAGAGATGACTGCAAGAGAAAGGAGTCCAAAAGCAGACAGACAAGTGAGCAGGCCATTGAACTCAGGCCATGAGTTTGTGTTTTGACCCTGAGCTGTTTGAAGAACACAGTCTTAGGTATTCCTGGAAAAGAACAATGAAATTCAAGCCCGGAGATGGTGTTGCTACGCTGGTTACTGATTGTGTGACTCTAGGAAAATCATTTAATATGCTTTCGTTGCAACCTCTGAAAAATGACACGCCATTACCACACACTCAAAAGATTTTCCATTCCATTCTCACAGCCTAGGACAGAAACAGCCCAGTCCAGTGACAGTGGACAATACACCAGGTCTCTGTGAGTGTTCTGTCCAGGAACTCTGTATGCTCTCTCCACACAGGTACTACACACATGCTGTCCTGTTGCTATGTTTCATCCTGCCCACACTTATCCCCTGGTATTTCTGGGGAGAAACTTTTCTACACAGCTTGTTTGTCGCCACTTTCCTGCGGTATGCCTTTGTGCTCAATATCACCTGGCTGGTCAACAGTGCTGCCCACATGTATGGATATCGCCCCTATGACAAGAACATTAAGCCCCGAGAGAGTCTCCTGGTTTCAGTAGGAAGTATGGGTAAGTAAACAGTCCGCAGCAAGACCACATCTGGTGGTGTCTTGGTTAGGGTATTCTGCTAGGAGCCAGAAGCACAAATCTGTTTTTATGACGACATATATCTTTTTTCTTTTTCCATTATAAAATGAAGAGACACTATTTTAGGAAATCCTCATGAGAGTCAGACAATGCTTTAAGTAAGAAACGAAAGGGTAAAAAATGATACTGTCTTTGGTTCACATTCTAAACGCATCTCCAAACACTATGTATAGTGAACTCTCCTGCATTTTCCTTTCCCCATTCATTTCAGGTCTGAGCCACAGTCTTGCTTGGGATAGAAGATGCTTGTATGTAAAAGGAAAGATAGAGCCATAACGAGGAGGCCATAAGCCTATTGTTTCCTAATTAACCCTACTGTATCAAATGTAGAAAAAAATAACTGCCATTCTCAAAGTATTTCCTATCTTCCCGTTATAGTTTTTGAATCCTTTCTCTTTTCAAGCACTTCTTAACATTGTGCATCTTGGCTTGATCCACATGAGAAACAAATCACTTGTATCGCATAATTCTGAAGTTTTCATAGAAATGGAATAATCTGGACTGAAATATATCTCAGTGACCCACAGTTCAAAATGACTCTCATCTCTTATTCTGTTCCTGTTGTCATTCATGCCTCTATATCTGCTCCTTCTTCCCTGTCACTTCACCCTTCGCTCTCTTTGTCTCCACTTGCTCTTTGCTTCTTGAATTACCTCCACCACAATCACATGCTCGCCGTCTCTGCGGCTGGTGACCTTTTCTTAAGTTTTCCTTGGGCTGTGTCTTACTGCCCTAATGGCTGTTTATGGGTCTCTCCCCTTTCTTCCCTTCTCTCTGTGTATTTCTGATTCCATTTAAGTCTTACATCTCTAGGCCAATGAGCACTCACTCTGAGCCCAGTTATGAAACACTGTGTGGAAGTTAACAATTCTCTGTCATCACGTTAGACTTAGTGTGCAGTTCATCCTGGGTTCACAGCAGGCAGGCACACAGAGGGTTCATGCGGAGAGAAGCCCCTGGCTGCAGTTGTTTCCTTGTACAACTTTCTTCACTTACTTGTCATTCATATTGTTATTACTCCATTTGGGATATTTTTATCCTCACAGGTCTAAAGATTTCTCTTATTTGTTGTTATTCACCCCATCTATTAAGGACCAGTGTTGTTTGTGTTGGAAGCCATTTGTAAGGGAGAGTCCTGCTGAGAATTGGTACACTTTCTGTGGAGATTTCAAACATTTGTCCCTTATAGAAACTGTCCTAGATCCACAATAAATTTATTTTCCTTTCTGTCAAAATGAAACGCCCATGACAATAGTTCTCAGAATCTCAGTTGCAAGAGGGAATCTCTAAGTATTCTCAGAGTAGTTCTGCTTGTCACCTTCCCCACTCCAGGGTCAAAGCTCAGAGACGTAGAAGCCAGAGCAGCCCAGTATGAACCAGAAGTGGCAGAGGAAATGCCAGCCCTTCTCTGCACCTTCTTTCCCTTGACTTTTGCCTGCTACTACCCACTCTTTTGGAATCATCCATCCTTACAGAGAGCACCAGTGTGGTGGAGAAGCCACAGTTCTTCCTCTGGATGTTCTCCTGCTCTCCTTTCTCCAGTATATGCACATATGCACACAGCCTGAGGTGCTGCAACATTTTTGGAGTATACAATCCTTTGCCAGCAGGAGGTTCTCTCTTGTCTTCTTTTCCTCTGAAAGAAAATTTCTTCTCACAAAGGCCGACAGCCACAGGTGATGACCAGGGACTCTTGACTTATTGCTTATGATGCCTCTGAGAGCATCTGTTTGCTTCAGTCTAAGATACTGAGTTCACACATTTATTCTATATCCATTCATTCAACGATAGCAGGTTTCTGAAAGATTTGAGGTACCCTACTAAGCTGGAGGTGTGGGGAGCAGAGGAAGACACTCCACTGAGATCCATCACTTCTCTCCTTTTGTTCCAGGTGAAGGTTTCCACAACTACCACCACTCCTTCCCCTATGACTACTCTGCCAGTGAGTACCGCTGGCACATCAACTTTACCACATTCTTCATTGATTGCATGGCTGCCCTTGGTCTGGCTTATGACCGGAAGAAAGCATCCAAAGCTGCTATTTTGGCCAAGGTTAAAAGATCTGGAGATGGAAGCTACAAGAGCGATTGACCTTTGAGTCATCTGATTTCATATTCTAAAAAGTCAGCTGGACTTTTGTTGTATTGATTCCTGAATATACTACCAAGATTCTATAGATGATGATGATGCTCAATCCAGCATAGCATTCTTTTTTTTTTTTTTTTGTCTTTTTCCTTTTTATTGGTACCAAGGATCGAACTCACAACTGCCTGCTTGCAAGGCAGTTGACTTATTGCTTATGCTTATGCTTATGCTGCTCAGCTAAATCCCCAGCCCCCAGCATAGTATTCTTGTAAAATTCACAAGTACTGAAAAGTAGTTTCTCATGTTGATGCTAAGCTAATATTCTCTTCATTTGCTTCTGATCCCACTGGGGCTTTTTCTCTGTTATAGGCTGGTGTCCACTTTTCAAATCCTAGAAACAATAGGCTGGTGTCTACCTTTTAAATCTTTGAAACTTTTCTATAGTCCAAAAGTAAAGGTTTTTACTCTAGAAAACTCTTTCCTTGACTATATTGAGTTCAAGGTAGGTAGTCAAGGTACAGATTCTAAAAAATTTTCTGGGAACCTGTCTGTTAAATATGAGATTATTTTTCTCTTCATCCAGCAGCCCATGGTTTGCTGGATGAAGGGAAAAATAACTTCATTTGCATAGCACTTACAAAGTACATAAATTACGAATGGAGACTGTTGGCATATATGATGTGGTCCATAATAAAGAACAATTGTTGAATGGAACGAGGCATGAGGAAGCTCTTTCTTGTGATCACACACTCACTTTTCTACCTAGCAGAGATATGTGCCCCACCACATAGCGTGCTTCCTTTCTCTCCTGACTCTTCGTAAGGGATATTCACTAAGCTTAGTGATGTTAGTACACTATGAGAGAGCTCAATACTTCTGCATAATTTGTGCTGAGGATATAGAGCAAGCATTTATGTAGTAGGACCAGCAGTGGTCTCTGCTGGGGGAGGATTTTTAAGTTTCTTTAATAGCAAGGAGATTCCTTATTTCATACAATGAAAAGTCTTCAGGTTGGTTATGACCAGAATTATACGTACAGGCAGGAAATGATGTATGCCTGGAATCTCAGCACTCAGGAAGCTGAGGTAGAAAGATTGCTGAGTTCACAACCAGCCTGAACCACAGAGTGAACAGCTTGTCTAGCTTCTTTCTTTTTCCTGCTCTGCCCTTTTGGGATGGTGAAGGTGGCTGTCATATTTTAAAATTCCTAAGAAGAAGCATTTCACAAGTCAGAATTGGGTCAACCAGAACATACATCACACAGATTCTTTGCCTGAATGTTGGAAACCCTTTGGAGAATTTAGCTCTGGATGAAGTATGCTGAAGGAACTTGAAGTAGAGGTAGAATTAGATGGCTTGGGATTCATCCCACAGCAGGGCAAGATACGGAGAGGTTTAGAGGCAGTGTCTGCAGGCATCTCCTAACCGATGACACTTCAAAAGACAAGCCGTGAGGACACATCCACGAAAGTCAGAAGCCACAGTAAATTTTTTTGTGTGTGTTACAATGAAGCAAGGTTGATTTTAGGTTACTTTCTTTGTCTCAACTGTTGTGTGGATTGAGTAAAACCTTGGCTCCTCTCTACAGAGCTGTGCCCTTTCACTCTTTACTCATTCTGTGACCATTAACCTACATGTAGAACTATGTGGGTGACAGGGCAGGTGCCTCTTAATTCTTAACTAATACATGTCTCTGATTCTTGTTACTCTTCTATTGGTTCTTCCTGTTTCCTAATTCTTCTTTTTCTGGGCAGGCAGCCTCCTGCATGTATTCAGGGCAGTGAGGACGTATGTCCAGCCAGCTGCCTTTCCTTGAAGAGACAAAGTTCATGGGTGCTGTATCTCTTTAGCAACTTTTATCTGCCACTTTTCCATGGCCTGCAGATCTTTCCTCCTTCAACACTGCCACACTGAACTCCAGACACAGCTGGCAATGTACTAACAAATACACCTGCCCAGAAAGGTTCTGTCTCATGAGTCAGGACTTGTTCAAATGGTTGTGTTGTGCCAGTGAGCTGATCACAGAACAAAAGTGTTTGGTGTTAGTCTCCTCTGTCTGGCTAAGTACAGATGGCATGCTTAGTACCCCCTGCATGCTCAGTAAAGCTGCACATTGTGATCAGTGCTCCACTCAACGGTAAAATTCTTAAAATTCTTAGGGGAGGAAGAGGTGCAGGAGACGGAGCTCTCACTAAGGACAAACAAGGGGAAATCCCCAAGTTTCTCTCATTGGAAGGAGGTCCTCCCCTGGAACCATGCTCTGTTGCAAAGCTCTGGCTGCAGTGTGCACTCTGAGATGCCTAGCTAACTTACTAACTTTGCTAAAATGATTGCCTCTTCTGAAAACTGAGATGCATTTCCTGCCACACAGTCTAAGACACATAGTAGGATAGAACAAGTCTGGGAAAACATAGACTGCCATGTTTTGAATAATACAGGTTATTCTTGTCCTTGTACTCCAGGCGTCAATAGAGAAGCATGGCTCTGCTTTATCAAGATTGTAATTTTGGTTTCTTGTATTTTGTTTTGTTTTGCTTTACAGCCCAAACACCAGGACAACATCTTGTTTCCACTAATGTTGTACTCCAGGCTGTGTCTATTTTATCTTCTTTTACGTGTAAGAGCATCATCATGGATCATGACTTACAGGTGGAGTCTTCTACATGGTTTCTAAAATCTATCCAGACCATAGTCTATTCTTAGGCCTGGTCTCTGCAAATAGTTCTTCTATGTGTCCTTTACATGTGCAATTTGAGACAAATAGCATTTAAGATAAATTTTTTACTTTTTAGAGGATACTTTATTGCTACTCTGTCCAGGACACATGAGCAGAGCAGTTCCCAAAGCCCTGTACCTGGATTTCTCATGAGAATACAAGCAGATTTTCCATAGGATGGTCCAGACCTTATGTCAGCCTGAGGAGTGAGTGACACAAAAAGAAGTTCACAATGAGTTTTTACCACTGTGCTCTTTCTCACATGTGGCCTGCCCTCACACTGTGGAGTATATTTGTTTTTCTTCTTTTATTTGGCCCAAATTGCCAAATAAAGAAGAACCTGTTTCTTTTCCTATCTTTAATAAAGCTTTGCTACTGTTTGTGCTTGTCTCGACTAATTTGTTGCTCAGGGCAAAAAGAACCTAGAAACAACCTCCAGGAGATTCTAGCACCCCAAAACTTGAAAAGACTCTCTGGGCTTCAGACAAGCTGTAAATAGATTAAAATAGCACTTTTCTGGTTGGTTCTGCAAACAGCATCAGGTTCAAATGAGGGATTGAAAATTTCCTTTCCAATTGGTACCCACAGTGCTCAGGAGCTCCGGAATCATTCCGGATCTTGCATTAGGCATATGTCCTCTGGGTTTTTAGGAACTTTGACACATTACATGCAATCAGTTGTCCACGTTGTTGACCCCTAATCTCCTACCTCAGTAGTGCTGTGGTCTGGCTTCAGAACTGTTCCTACCTTGGGTGCAGATTAATGGACAAATGATATATACCAACTCTTTCTTCCACCCAAATACCTGCTGGTGACATGCATTGTACCCATAGGAAAAGTATGATGGTGTGACCCTGGTCCTTGGATGGCAATGGCAGAGTGCTGAACTTCTGCATGCTCAACTTAAGCTTCCTTTGTTCTCCGAAAACCAAACTCACTCCACTTTGTGACCCTCTTAACATTCAACGACAACTGAGTTTCAGGCTTCCCTCTCAGACAACAGGAACAAACTAGATATTTACGTCTATTTTTCCAACTGTACCACACTCTCCCATAAAGTTATGAGCTCTTCAGGGGCATTTTCTTTTATCAGAAAAGTCTCTGGTTACTTAAACAGTCAATGCTCAACAAAATGATGGACAGATTCATGTGTTTTTAAACTTTTTTTTATTTTTAAAGGAAAAAAACCAATGAAAACAACATACAGGGGACTTCCTGGAGAACATGATGGACAGATAACAGCAGCTATGGAGACTCTCTGAGTTATATAGCTTAGAATCCAGCAATGGTGTGGTGTGGAGTCCTAAGGAAGGGGAGATATAACCTGCAAACCCAGGAATGAACTAAGCTGAGAGAAACCAACTGGAAATGCAATCCCGGTGCTATAACCAGAACAGATAAAGTCTCAGCACTGAAGCTGGAAGCCGTGCCTCTAGAAACTGCGATTTGAATTTCCTGCCACCGCTGCTACGGCTGAATTGGCACAGCAGGGAGAGAGATGTGCAAAAGCTCAAAGAGCGGGAATTGGTGAATGGAGTTGAGAACGGGACTGGTGGTGAGCCCTGCATTGACCTCCGGTGAGTGAGAGGAACGGGGACCCTTCCATAGACTAGGAGTCTCCAACAGAGGACATTCTGGGACCGGGCAGACTAGCCAGAACAGGATGCTGCAGTGACTTTAGTTGTATATTCCCCTCTCAAGTAGGATTGGTGGGAAGTGCTTGGCCTGGGTGATGCCGCAGACTAAGACCCAGTAGGCTAGACCAAACTAGGTCCCAGTGCCTGGTGGTGCACCCTAGCAGTGAAGCCTTTAGTAGGTTGACTGACCTGGATGGGCGGGCCCAGAAGAGGCTGCCCAGGTCTGTGTCTCCCTAGTACACTGTAGTGGGCGCGAACACCTAGCGGTGCAATGCAAACAAACTGTAACCAACAAAGAAAGAAACTGGGCCTCCTATATATGCTTGTATGGAAGGAACAAAAAGTATTGGAAGAGGGAGCAACAAGAAAGCGTTCTCAGTCCTCAATCCTGAGAAAACTGATCCAGGAAAGGTAAATACAAAGGAGAATGAGAACAGAAAACTTGCAATATCAGGCACAGCACCAATAGACATAAAGCGATATCTCCAGAGCCTCATAGACAAGTTCAAAAGTGAAGTATTTAATGACCTAAAGCAAGATATAAGTAGAATAGTTAGAGAAATGCTAAGCACTGCCCAAGAAAAAACAGATGGTGGAATGGAACAACAGAAAAAAAGGAGAGAATTGTTTGAGGAAGAAAACATAGAATATGTGAAGCAGGTTCAAAGAGATTACCAGGAAACAAAAACTCTATTGAAAGCTGGCATAACAGCTTGAAAAAAACTAAGGATAGATTATCTGAACTGGAGGACAGATTTGTAATGTGGGAGCATGAAATGAAAAACTTCTTAAAAATAACAAGAAAACAAACAGCAATAATACAAAGACTTGAAGGTGCTAAGAGGATCTATAACTTAAGAATTAACAATGTAAAAGAAGAAGTAGGGACACAAACAAATGAACTACAAAGGCTATTCACAGAAATAATCCAGGAGAATTTCCCTAATTTAGCAAAAGGTAAAGGTACTCAGATTATGAGTCATACAGGACCCCAGCCACCTATAACCCAAACAGAACAACACCCAGGTATATAATAATCAAAATTCCAGAAATCCAAAATAAGAACAGAATATTAAAAGCCACCAGAGACAAGAAACAGATCACTTACAAGGGAACCCCCATCAGAATTACAGCAGACTTCTCAGCACAAACTATCAAATCATGAAGAGGGTGGGGGAAATAATTCAAGCTTTGAAAGATAATCACCTCCATCCAAGATTGATATATCCTGAAAACTGTCCCTAGAAATTGATGGAAAAACAAGGTGCTTCCAGGATAAAGAGGAACTGGAGGAATTTGCAACCACCAATTCAACTCTACAGAGAATACTGCAGGACATTCTAAAAAAAGAAAAATACCAAGATTCCAAAAACAGTGGCAGAGAGGCCACAATGAATGGAGCAGAAAGCAAAATGAAGAAGACAAACTGACAACTAATGACAGAAAAAGAGCTCAACAGAAATGAAGCAGAGAAGGTTGGATGGTAAGAACAGCTATTTTGGAGAAAACAAGACATCGTAATAGCTAATGCTGATTTAATATCCTCTTGTTTTGAAGTCCCATCAAGCTTTTGTTCTTCTGTTTGCATTGGTCTTAACATGTTGTATCTTATTGGATTTTATTATATGTGATGATATAAACAAAAACTTTTATACAGAAGGAGATTATACAGAAACCATTGTTCATTTTCTGTTAGTTGGTTCTAAATACCTTTAATACTGTCATTCTCTTGAACAGTTTTACATTGTCTTGATATGTTTGATGCTACAGTATATGAAGTTATACTCGTAGATTTCAAGGAAAGAGACACTATGGTAACTACTTTTATTTTGGGATATCTGGTGGTGAAACACTGTTTTGCTTAAATGATTGTGTTTTGACCTGTGCTATTTTGTTGTTATGTCCTCTTTTATCTCAATCTCCTTTTTTTATTATTTACTTTTTTATTTTTATCTTTTTAATTAAGAGAAAAATAAAAATAACAGGATATATTGTAGTAAGCCACTTTGATTTCCTATTAACTTGATTTGAAACCCTGTATTGTTCTCACCATGTGGTCTTGACTGATTTTCCTCTATTCAGTTTTGCTTGTTTGAGAGTATAGGCAACAACTGTGATGACAATAAGATTCATTATGACACCCATTCTGGCTTGACTATTATCTTCTTTTGAAGTCCTGTAATGTCTCCAATATTTTGGTTTCATTGCTTTAGTTCTTTATTGTTTTGTTCGGTTTTATTATAACTGATGATATAGGCAATTCTTTTTAAGATAGCAAGAGGCATTATGGTAACCATTGTTGATCACCTTGTATTTTGTTTTTACAGTATGTATGATGTCCATCCTTTTGATTTGACTGACTCTGTTTTGTTATGTCACATTTGGTTTTATTCTCTTCAAAAAAAGTAATAAGAAGTGTGGGAGTAATAAAACCCAAAATGTGTAATTGTCATTGAACAAAAGAGAGGAAAAGAAAGTGCTCTAAAGGATATAACTGCATGTATATTTAAGTGTATAAGATAGATAACCATATTACAGAGTTTTGTTAGGTCATTAACAGAACTGTTTGTAATCTCACTGTTTGAATGTCCACTTTATATGCTTTAATTTTGTAACTTGCACAACTATTTCTAAGATGACAATATGTAATCTATTAGCCAGTGATTTCCTACTGTTTATTTTTTCTGAAATTCTGTATAACTTGTGCCCTTTTTCTGTTTTTTTCTTTTTCTCCTTAAATAAAATTAAAAAGAAAATAAAACAAGATACAAAATTTCAAAACAAGATAATAGGAGAGTAACAATAGTCGATTACATTGCCTATTGTTATCTTCAGTGTACTTACTCATGTTACCAGATATAGGCATGAAAATTAAACAATAGAAGAGGGGCTGGGCAGATCTGGGGCGCCTGCATCAATCTCCCCGTGTGTCTGGATGACTGTGGATATCTCAGCAAGCAGGGAGGAATTGCAGGTTCCAGAGGCACCGCAGCCTATGGTGAGTGCTCAGTGCACTCTGCCCAAATCCCAGACTGTTCTGGACCCTCCAGGCTTCCGGGTGCAGTGAAGTGGAGAAGTGGGTTTGAGGCCTCTACATCTGCCTCCCCATCCCGGCTGCACTTGGAGAACTGCTGAGCTTCCAACTGGTGGGGGGGCCCACGCTATCCCCAGAGCCCAGCCTGTTTAGGCCTCCCGCACCTAGCCATTGGTGTGCAGAGGGGCTCGGCAGATCTGGGGCGCCTGCATCAGCCTCCCCATGTGTCTGGAGGACTGTGGATGTCACGGCGGGCGGTGGAGCATCCCGGGTTCCGGAGGCCCTGCAGCCTGTGGTGAGTGCTCAGCACACTCTGCCCAGAGCCCAGACTGTTTGGGTCCCTCCCGGCTTCCAGGTGGAGTGAAGTGGAGAGGTGGGTTTGAGGTGTCTACACATCCTGGCTGTGATTAGAGAGCTGTGGAGCTTCCAACGGGCAGGTGGGTGCACAGTGTCCCTGAGGCCCAGCTTGTCTGGAACTGTGGAGTTCTGAGCAGGCAGAGGAGGGCTATTGGTTCTACAGGCCCAGTGACTTGGGGTAGCCTGGTGCCAGAGTCTCAGTAGCCACAAACATAGAAGATCCAGAGGAAGCTTTCAAATAACACTTGAAATACAGAAATATAGGAAAATGACAAAACGAAAGACCAAATTACAACCTCAAACCTCCAGCCCATCTCAAGAAACCCTAGGAGCAACGTATATAGAAGAAAAT